GATTTAATACCAGAATAGAGGATTTTGTATTATTTACTTTGTAGCCAGAGACTCTCCCAAATTCCTGGATCACTTCCATCACCGCTGGAATTGAGTTTTTCAGATCTGTTAGAAATAAAATAACATCATCAGCGAATAGAGATATTTTGTGCTCTGTGGGACCCACGGTGATCCCAGAGATTTGTGAATGGAGACGAATAGCTGATGCCAAAGGCTCGATTGCGAGTGTGAACAGCAAGGGAGATAGAGGGCATCCCTGACGACAACCCTTCCTGATTTGAATCGCCCTTGAAAGTATTTTATTTGATACTATTTCCGCAGTTGGATTTTTATATAATATTTTAACCCATTTAATAAAGTTGCTACCACAATTCAATCTTTCCAATATGTTAAATAGATAGGGCCATTCAACCCTATCAAAAGCCTTCTCTGCCAAGGTACATTTTTTCATAGAAAAAATCCTGAGGCACACCAACCAAAAATGTTAAACTAATCTGTAGCCGCCTATAGTAACACTATAGTTATTCTTATCTTATCCTAAGTGTCTTGAATAGGAATCAAATAAACACAAACATGTATTTTTTATCATATTTATATTTCTTCTTTCAAATTGCTCTTAACATGTCCACTTCAATATGCAAAATTATATACAAAATCTAGTCATAAGGAATTATTACATGATTACGCCACCAGTCACTTGTACAGCACAGACACTCAAAAATGGCATATTATTTGCAGATAATTAATTCCTTATCAAAAAATCTTTTTAGACCAATTAGGTGTAACCCTTTAAAGCCTGATCCAAGTAAAATAGGAAGAATATTGAATTTTTTTAGTCTGAAGTCTTTCTTTGGCCCCAACATATGAAGAAAAAAACTGAAATTATTTTGATCAAATTAGCGTGCAATAAGTAAAAAATATATGTTGGTGTAGTCTTCTACTGGCTGTTATCAGGTATATCTGAATGTGTACAACAGGGGTTTGAGCAAAGCTTTTACCACTGAATGATGCAAAAAGTCTCAGATCCAAAAGACTTCAGAAACCGGATCAGATATGACACATTTGGCATTATAGGGCTAACATTCCCCTAATTTTGCACAGTTTTAGTCATTCCATTTTTATTAATTTATGAGGTTTTTATTTATGATGTATTGATGACTTTGTACGTTTTCTTATGTTTCAATGTTGTTTTAATGACGATCGTCTTTGTAAAGTGTCCTTCAGTGGCATGAAAGGCGCTTTAAAAAATAAAATGTATTGTTATTATTATTATTAGATGTTTATGGGAAAAGCTGTAAGCACACAGAAAGATTAAGAGTATTTGTTTTGGAGGAGCTGTTAGTGATATGACATTTACAGACTTCATCACAGGAAGAAAGAAGAAGAAGAAGAAGAAGAAGAAGAATACTTTATTCATCTCAACATGGAGAAATTCAGTACAGCCTGTACCAAGATTAAACAAACAAAAGTTAGGCAGCCACACAGGAGGGCGCTCCGTTTTCCTTCAGAACAAAATATGCTGGGAAAATGGTTGTGGGAAGAGGAAAAAAACAAACAATAAAAAAACAATAAAAACAAACAAAAAGCCCTAACCTTCACTTCCCTGCACTAATGGGTCCTTCTCTTTCTTTTGCTTCTTACTTCAGTAGCCTGGACCCCAGCAAAGCCTGTGAAAGAGAGCAGAACACGGCTGGATTCATGTCAAATCAATCAATCAATCAATCAATCAATCAATCAATCAATCAATCAATCAATCAATCAATCAATCAATGTTTATTTATATATCACTTTACAACAACCGGAGCTGACCAAAGTGCTTTACAGTAATAAAAACAGATCAAACTATCGAAATATACAAAGACAAACACATTGGTGACAGAACCCAGTTTACAGAGATTTTACGTGCAAAAAGCCATCCTGAACAAATGCGTTTTAAGTTCGACTCTGAATGAGGCAAAAACACGGGAGTGAGTCAAGGAGGTAAACTGAATGTTCTACTTCCAGTAAACACTAGCCCTTTCCTCCAGAAAACAGCAGGGAAACCCATGAAAACTCAACATTGAGAATGAAAACAACCTTAAAAAACAGAAAGACTTCCTGTCTGGGTGAGCTTTAAGCTTTAAACTTTAGCTCCACTTTCTGACCTGGATCTGTGAGTTTTGCCTAAAGATAAAATACACAAAGGACATGAAGGGAAAGCTACTGGCATTTTCCTCTTTTTAACCCTGTAATGCCAAATGTATTATATTTGATACGGTTTCTGAAATGTTTTGCGTCTGACACCTTTTGCTTAATTTACTGGTAAAAACTTTGCTCAAAATCCTGTTGTACACAATCAGATACACCTGATAACAGGGGGCAGAAGACTACACAAAAAATAATCTTGACTTATCGCATAGTAATAAATTATTAATATCAAAATGTATTTATTTATTTTTTTACATATTTTGTTAAAAGGCCAAATAAGGAATTCAAGCAAAAAAAAAGTAATTTTCTGCTTTGTTTTATTCTTGGATCAGGCTTTAAAGGGTTAATCACGGAGAACTCTTTCCCTGATGATGGCAGCTCTTTTGTTGGAAGGGGCTTTGCGTTTGAGGCTATCGGAGCACTTTAACGTTCAGGTCTGTGATAAAT